GTGGCGGTGGCTGGGGGGCAGGCGGGGCTGGGCGGGCGCTGACCTGGGCCATGCGGGTGGCCGGGCGGCAGGGGGGCTGGGTGGGGGCTGACCCAGGTGCTGTCTCTCTCCCCGCAGGGGGGGACGTGTTCTCCTACGACCTGGGCCTGGGGGTGCTGAAGCGCCGGTCGTGGCCCGGGGTCAGCGACTGCTCGGCGGCCGCGCGCTGGCTGGGGCGTTATTACTGCTTCCAGCGTGTCCACTTCCTGCGCTTCCAGCCGGCCACGGGCCTGGTGCCCCCCGGCTACCCCCGCGACGCCCGCGACTACTTCATGAGCTGCCCCGGGAGAGGTGAGATCACTGGCTCGCCCCCCGCCCCACGATCCCTCCTGGTCACAGGCCCCCCCATCCCTCCGCTGCCCCCCCCGTGATCCCTCCGGGTCACAGCGCCCCCGGTTCCCCCAGCTGCCCCCCCATGATCCCTCCGGGTCAAGCACCCCCGCGATACCCCCCGCCACAGCCCCCTGCCCCGCGATACCCTGCCATGATCCTCACAACCCCCCCGATGCCCCCAGTAGCTCCCCTGTGATATTGTGCCTGCCCCACAATATCCCCAGCCTCACCTGGACCACAACTCCCCTGGCCACCCCGTGACTCTGACCCCCTGTCCCCCGTGACACCCCCATCCTCACCCCCAACACCCCCCCTGCAATACCCCTGGCCAACCTGTGACCCCCAACCTCCTCCAGCACCTCCTGGCAACGCCACCCCCCAGACACGACATGGACCCCCCCAGCCACCCCGTGACCCCAATATGCAGGGCCGGCTCTGGCTTTTTGGCCGCCCGAAGCAAAAAAAAAACCTAGCGGCACGGCCGGCTGGGGAGGAAAGGGGGACGGGGCGGGCGGGAGAGAGAGAGAAGGGGGCAGGCAGGGCTACAGCAGGGGTGCTGCCACGCGGCCCCTCCCGCTGCGCCGCCTCCTGCCGCCTGCCGCGAGGGCGCCGCTCCGCTCCGGTCGGCGGGGAGGGAAGGAGGAGGACTGCCCTGCAGGGCGCTCTGGTTCTCCGCACCGCCGACCCGAACAGGGCGGCCGGAGCCGAACAACAACAACAACAACAACAAAAGCGGCCGTGCCGCCCTAGGATTGGGCAGGACGCCGCCTCCAACAATCTGCCGGCCTGGAGCCGGCCCTGCCAATATGCCCCTGCCCCCTGCCTGTACCTGACCCCTCTCTCCCCCGCCGGCGGGTGCAGGGCACGGGCACAAGGCGCGCGGAAACGCCACCGCCATGGGCATCCGGGACCCCTGCAGCGGCCTCGCCTTCCAGGCCTTCACCGCCGACGACGCCAACCGCACCTACGCCTTCCGGGGTGAGTGGGGAGCGGCTCCCCGACCTGCTGCCTTGGCCCCCACCGGGGTCCCCGCGGCCCGGCCCCGACCCTGGGCCACTGTGCCTGACGAGGGGGAACCTGTCTGGTGCCCTGCAGCCACCCCAGCTGGAGCCCCCGGAGCCCCACTGCTCCCCATCGACCCCCTTGTCTGGGCGCTCCCCGGAGCCCCTCCGCTCCCCACTGACCCCCCTTGTCTGGATGCTCCCCAGAGCCCCCAGAGCCCCATCAACCCCCATTGACCCCCTTGTCTGGGCGCTCCCCGGAGCCCCATCAACCCCCATCGACCCCCTGGTCTGGTCACTCCCTGGAGTCCCTCCCCATAGGCCCCCCTTGTCTGGGGGGCAAACCCCTGCCCCTCGGCTGCTGGTTCCAGGTAAGGCCGGGACGTCCCGGCCATGGTCCAGGGTCGGAATCAGCCCCTGCTGAGTGGCCCCAGAGCCCCCCTGCCCCGCCCCGCCCTGCCCCAGGGCAGCGATGCAGAGCAGCGTGTTCTCGCCCGGCCTAGGGGGGCAGTACTTCCGCCTGGACTCCAAGCGGGACGGGTGGCACTCGTGGCCACTCAACCACACGTGGCAGGAGCTGAGCGGGCAGGTGGACAGCGCCTTCAACTGGGACAAGAAGCTATACCTGATCCAGGTAATCCGGGGGGGGGTTCTGGCCACGCCCAGCTGTGTGGACAACTCACAACAGGGTGTCCGGCTCAGGGCCTGCTTGGATGGGGTGTCTGCCCCCCCCAGGGCAGGGCGGGGGCTGGGGTGTCTGGCCCCCCTAGGGCAGGGCGGGGGCTGGGGTGTCTGGCCCCCCCAGGGCAGGGCAGGGCAGGGGCTGGGGTGTCCAGTCCTCCCAGGGCAGGGCGGGGGCTGGGGTGTCTGTCCCCCCCAGGGCAGGGCAGGGCAGGGGCTGGGGTGTCCAGTCCTCCCAGGGCAGGGCGGGGGCTGGGGTGTCTGTCCTGCCCCCCCAGGGCAGGGCAGGGGCCAGGGTGTCTGGTCCCCCCCAGGGCAGGGCAGGGCAGGGGTGTCTGTCGTCCCCCCAGGGCAGGGCAGGGGCTGGGGTGTCTGTCTCCCCCCCCCCCGGTGTGCGTTCAGGGAGCACCTCAACAGGGGCCATTGGCGTGTCTGCGCCCCCCACCCCACCGGTCTGCGTGTGCCTTGCAGGGCTCCCAGGTCTACATCTACCGGGTGGGCCCAGGCTACACGCTGGTGCAGGGCTACCCCCGCGACTTGCAGGAGGAGCTGGGCATCACGGGCGCTGACGCCACCTTCACCTGCCCCCACTCCGCTGAGCTCTTCGTCATCCACGGTGCGAGCTGGGCACGACCTGGCCAGAAGGGCAGCGAGGTCTAGTGGTCAGAGAGTGGGGGGGGGGGCGAGGCTGGTGGGTTAGAGGAGGGGGGTGGGGGAGCCGGGACTCCTGGGTTCTCTTCTGGGAGGGGAGTGGGGTCTGGTGGGTTAGAGTGGGGGGGGCGGAGCCAGGACTCCTGGGTTCTGATGCTAGGGGTCCTTGGGTGAGTCTGAGCGGGGTGAGGGGCCGTGGGGAGCAGTGAGTGACTGAAGCACTGTCGGGCCCTGGGTGGGCCAGGGCATCTCTGTTTCCACCCCCCGGTTCACATCGCAGGGGAGGGGCTCGCGGCTCCAGGCCGGGGGCTCCTTTTACATCGTGGGGGAGGGGCACGCGGCTGTGGGCCGGGGGCTCCGTTCACATCGCGGGGGAGGGTGTAACGACGCTGGCTTTGGCGGGACCCAACTGAGAGTGCCAATGCAGGACAAATCGCTCAGAGCAGGGCACTTACAGCCCCAGGCTGGGGTCCTTTGGCACACACAGGCACCAAACCAGACAGACCAAGAGGACTTCGGTCTCACCCCACTGGCGAACCACACGTCACACAAGCAATTCCCTCAGACACTCCAGTATTACCATCAGCGCCACTCGTTATGGGGACGAATGGTTATGAAAACCAATACCCCAGTAAAAGAAAAAAGGTTCTCCCGATCCCAAAGGACCAAGCCCCAGACCCAGGTCCAATTATAACTTAGATCTGACCCAAAACACACACTTATAGCCAATTCTTATTAACTAAACTAAAATGTATTGAACAAGAAAAGAGAGAGAGTGTTGGTTAAAAGATCAATATACAGACAGACTTGAATTCAATTCTTGAGGTTCAGATGCATAGCAGAGGTGAACTTGTAGCTGCCAAAAGTCCTTTTAGAAATAGTCCAGAGGTTATAGTCCAATGTCCATATTCAGGGTGGCTCCAGTCAATGACTGGGGATCTCAGTCCTTATGGCTTAAGGTTTCCCCCTCTTGAAACCCAAAGCAGATCTGAGCTGAAGCAGGATCGTGTCCCAGGGTTCTTATACATTTCCAGCAGCCTTTTGGCCTGAGAAAACAATAGGCAGGGCCGGCTTTAGGCCGATTCCCCAGAATCGGGCCCTGTGCCTAAGAGGGCCCCGCGCCTTAGGTGCCTTTTTAATTTTTTAATTTTTTTTCACCAGGCGACGGTCCGGGTCTTCGGGGCATTTCAGCGGCGGGTCCTTCAGTGCCATGGAAGACCCAGAGTCGAGTGAAGGACCCGCTGCCGCCGAAGTGCCACCGAAGACCCGGACCGCCACCGGGTATTCGAATCGGGCCCTGCAGGTCCTAAAGCCGTCCCTGACAATAGGCTTAACTCTCCTTCTCCCAAACATCCTGGCAATTAGCACAGGGTAATTTATCCATTAAACAGTTCAGATACAGGTTACCACAACCTTCAAAGAGACATAGAGACAATAATACTATTTCCCTCAAGTATCATCATAAATGTTAATATTCCTTTTTTGATCTTTGAATTAAAGCTATAGCAATAGACAAGACTTGTTTGCCTCCATCACAAGACCTGAGCAAACACCTCCCCTTCTACCTCTAACATTGCCGGCTGCATTTCAAAGCTCTGTTCATTTACAGATCTTCCTAACCAGTCTCTACAGTTCAGCCATGGGTCAGGTCAGTCTGTGAGTTAATTAACTCTTTCTGGCCCTGTCACCTTTCTATGAGACAATATATCACACTCCGAACGTCACAGAGGCGCGCGGGGCCAGGCCGGGGGGCTTTGTTCACGTCGCTGGGGTAGGGGCGCGTGGAGCCAGGCCGGGGGCTCTGACAGCTCCTGTCTGCTCTTCAGGAAACGCCCTGCAGCGGGTGGATCTGACCCTGAGCCCGCGGAGCCCGAGGCTGGAGGGGTCCATCCCCCACGCCCACGTGGACAGCGCCATGTGCAATGCGGACGGGGTGCACCTCTTCCACGGAAACACCATCCACCACTACGCCAGCGTGGCCGAGCTCACGACGAGCCCCAAGCCCTCCCCCCCGCAGAACATGACTGCCGTCCTCTTCGGGTGCCCCCACTGACGGGGCAACCCTGCCCGACCCCCAGGGGTGAGTGGGGCCTTCCAGCCGCCACGCTCCCTGAACCCCCCCGTTCCTTTACTGTGCCCCTCCCTTCCCCCTCCACCACACCCCACGCCCAGGGTTGTCCTTGGTCAGTAAGGACCCGGGGTTCAGAGGTGCATCTGTGTGAGTTCCCCTCCCACCCGGGGAAGAAGGCACCTGGCTTGCTCTGCCATCTGAGCACTCGCTCTGGCTGACCACTTTGAAGCCACGGTTCCTTGCCACCTGGCCGTCCCTCCACCCCCCATTCCCCACTCTCACCAGCTTGGCACTTTCATCAGCCACCCATGAGTCACCTTGTGCTGCCACCTGCCTCTCTGCTGTGACCTCTGCAGGTCAGTCTCTTAGTGATTGTGAGCTCTCAGCAGACTGGGCACAAACACTGTCCCACCACAACTGGCTTCTGCGCTCCTTGAGCATTTAAAATAACAAAATGGCTCCTAATAAAGCTTATTTAGCTCTGTCTTTGAACAGTGGGAGGAACAGGTTAAACCCAGCCAGGGACCCTTTGGGAGGGGGGCACCTCCTAGCTAGAACCTCTCTCCCACCCCTCTTACTGTCACAGGGCTCTGGCATTCGAGCCCCTGGCTTAACGAGGTCCTTTCAGCTGAGGGTGACCCCGCATCTGGGACAGGTTACGCACAATTCTGCTCCCCTTTACACATACAATAAAGATGACAACCGCATTTCATACCCCTGCAGTCAGTACTAAAGTGATTTGTAACCCAACACCAGCCAAAGCACTGGAATGCGTTCCCTAGGGAGGTAGTGGAATCTCCTTCCTTGGAGGTTTTTAAGGGCCGGCTTGACAAAGCCCTGGCTGGAATGATTTAGCTGGGGATTGGCCCTGCTTTGAGCAGGGGGTTGGACTAGATACCTCCTGTGGTCTCTTCCAACCCTGATATTCTATGATTCTGTGACACCTGAGCGCTTGGAGCAACGCAGCTCTATCTGCTGGATACTGACGCAGCGTCGGCGTGTTCATGGAAATACAGTTTGCGCCTGAAGTCTCTCCCCCTCCCACCTAGCTGTCAGGGGAGAATTCATTCAGACCCTGCTCACAGGCGTGTGTGTGCATGTTTGCATGTGTGTGTGCATCTTTGTGTGTGTGTGTGCGTGCATGTTTGCATGTGCGTGTGTGTGTGAGCGTCTTTGTGCGTGCATTTGCATGTGCATGCATGTGTGTGTGTGTTTGCATGTGCGTGCATTTGCGTATGTGTGTATCTGCGTGTTTGCATGTGTGTGAGTTTGTGTGTTTGTGTGTATGCATTTGTGTGTGTGTGTTTGCATGTTTGTGTGTGTGAGTGTTTACATGTGTGTGAGTTTGTGTCTATGTGAGTTTGCGTGTTTGTGGGTTTGTTTGGGGTGTATGTGTGTGTCTGCATGCGTGTGCGTGTTTGTGTGTTTGTGTGTGCATGTTTGCGTGTGTGTGAGCTTGCATGTTTGTGTGTGTTTTTGCATGTGTGTGTGAGTTTGCGTGTGTGTGAGTTTGCGTGTTTGTGTGTGCGTGTGTTTGAGTTTGCGTGTGTGTGTTTGTGTGTGCGTGTGTTTGAGTTTGCGTGTGTGTGTTTGTGTGTGTGTGTGAGTTTGCGTGTTTATGTGTTTGGTGTGTGTAATGATGGGGACGTCACAGGAATGGTTGAAACCCACCCAAAGCCACAGAGACTCTGGTGAGCCAAGGAGCCCCCCCCCGGAGTCCCGTCAGGGCGGGACACGGGCTGGGGCGCAAGGGGACGGGGGCGGGAGGCTGCCTGGTGGCTGCCTGCAGGAGGGGCTCAGCAGCTCTCCCCGGCGCTAGGGCCTGGCAGCCGCAGGCCCAGGGGGCAGCGAGGCGGAGCAGGGGCTTTGCCCTCCGTAGCTGGGGGAGCCCGACGCTGGGACCCTGCAGCCAGGGCTGGCGATGGGCCTGGCATGGAGAAGCTGCCCAGCGCCCTCCAGCTAGCGCCCCCCAGCTCAGCTCCCAGGCACCTTCATCGCGCCCCCCGGGCAGGAGGGGCCCAGAACACGAGCCAAGGGCTGGGAGCTGAGACCCCTGAGGGCGCCTGCTGGGGGAGGTGCCGGGGGGACTTGTGGGAGCGCCAGAGGTGGGTGCGGGGCTTGCTGGTCTGTGCCGTGCCGGACTCAGACCAGCCCCATTGGTCTCTCCTGGCCGGGTCGGGGGGTGATAGGGCCCCCACTCGGTGGCGGGTCCGGCCAGACAGCCGGTGCCCCGGGGCTGCACGAGGGAGCCAGCAAGTGGCACGTGGGACTCAGCACCCGAGGGGCCCAGACACCGAAGTCAGAACAAGGGCTGACACAGCGCACTTCGCACGAGAGAGCCAAATGGAGCCTGCAGCTGGCTGGGGGGCCGCAGGTGGCTGGGCGGGGG